TGTTGTTTCCCCCTCCCTTTTGAATTGTGAGCCGCCCTGAGTCCCCTTAGGGAAAAGGGCGGCATACAAATAAAGGCAATAAACAATAATGAAGAATTGGGGGCTATTGATGAACAATGTACTGCAATAGCCACTAGACAGGACAAATAGACAGAAGACTAGCAAACGCATCCATGAACACCAACTAGCAATCAGAAGACATGATGAAAACTGGGGAATTGTGACCATTCTAGACAAGTCAAGTCCAAAAATTTTAGAGAATTCCTGGATGCTTGACACTCTGACAAATCACCAGCCATCACCAGGGACAAAAACAACTATATACCATTCAAATGAGACAATCAACCAACCAAAAAGGAAATAAAAAAACCAGAACATCTGTTCACCAATTATCAACATTCAGATGAGCAGAGATTAACACCAAGATTAATACAGTGTTTCCCGAAAATACGACTGGGTCTTATTTTCTTTTTACTTACAAAATATGGCCTTGGGCTTATTATAGGGGAGGGCTTATTGTTTTGGGATTGCCGGGCAGCTGCTCCCTTGCAAACTGGCTCCCGAAGAACCGGGCACAGCCTCGGGGCGAAGCAGCCATGAGGTGACTAAGCTCACGAGCAACCACCCGGCAAACCCACTCTCCAGCCGGGCAGAGTGCCATTCACTGACCTAGGGGGTATCCCTAAGGTGCCAAGCCATGTGTTGCTCTGCCCACTCCCTAGCTCCTGCAGCTTGGCACATTAGGGATACCCCCTAAGTCAGTGCATGGAGCTTGCCAGGCTGGAAAAAGGGGTTGCATGAGTGCCTGTTCTGACCCCAGTAGGCATGCCTCCTAGCCTCAACATGTTTGGGCCCAGCTCTCCCTGCAGCAGCCGTCACCGCGCTCCGAGCATAACGTCTTCTCCAGTTCCAAACTCCCAAACTCGGCTGCTGAGTCTTCCAGCAGTGGCCGCTCTAGGAGTGAGCTCTATGGTTGTGGGCTGGTTGCTGGAAGACTCTCTGTCCGGAAGACTCTCTTACAGAGTCTTCCAGCAGCCAACCCACAATCAGAGAGTGCACTCCTAGAGCGGCCGCTGCTGGAAGATTCGGCAGCCGAGTTTGGTACCGGAGAAGATGTTATGCTAGGAGCGCAGCGGCGGCTGCTGCTGCAGGGAAAGCTGGGCAACTCCCCCTTCCAGCCAGGCAGAATGCGACTCCCCAACCTAGCGGTATCCTGAAGGCGGAAAGCAACGGCTCCTGCAGCTCAGCGCCTTCAGGATACCGCTATGTCGGTGAGCGGTGCTCTGTGTGGCTAGAGGCAGGGGGGTTGTCCAGGTGGTTTATTTTCGGGGTGGGCTTATATTTTTGCCAACGCGAAAAATGTGACAAGGCTTTAGTTTCAGGACAGGTTGTATTTTCGGGGAAACACGGTATTAGACCAACTATCAAAAAACAAGCAATGCCCTTATCAAGGAACTGCCAAACAAGCTAACAGTAAGCAGTCCAACCAAAGAACCACCAAGGCCACTCCCACCAATACTGATAGGGAAAGCCACAAGAATATAAAATGAGACCAAATCCCACTCGCTACAAGCATTGATGATGTTACCTAATTTGGGTAATAAAACATCTGCAAGAAAACAACCAATCTCAGAGAACACAAGGGTCCCTCAGTCACTTAAATATTGTATGGGACATCATGAATAAGCAGTAGCAATGTGAAAATATGTTTGCTTAAGATTGATATGCCCTATAGGCTAATCAATAAATCTATAATAATAATGTTACATTAAGTAATGTTTAAAATATGTGAGCTACTTTTTCTTAATAATTAACCTTAACGAAAGCATTTATTTCATTATTTATCTTGACCAGAAACTTTTTTTTGTTTATGTGGGTTGTGTACACACACAATTTTCAGATAGTACACAGACATACACCACATATTCAGTGGCAGTGGGCAATAGCACTGAACCCCAAGTATTAAACTTAAGATGTCTTTATATTATCTTTACTAATGTCTTATTGAGAGTGATATGTGGGATAAACTCAAATACTTTTTTTCTCAACTTTCACTAAGCTCTCTTCAGATGCAGATATGTATGCAAGGTGAGAGAAGATTAATTTAACTGATTTATGCATGGAAATAATAGATAATTTAAGAAGGATTTGATTTCTTGTAGCTGATGTGACAGCTTTTGTGTATCTTTCTATATAATCACTGGCAGCATATAGACTGAAAACAGTTACTAATCAGGAAAGTGAATACATAGAAGGGAGAGTGGGACTGTATGCATTGAATAGAGATTCCAATTACCAAGCAGAATGCCAATTGGCTATTTATGAAAATTATTGTATTGTAACCTATATAGTTCCTTCAGTGAAAAACATATTTAAAATATGATTTGGCAAAGACTGGCAAGAGGTTTATAGAGAGTAGGACCCTAACCCTAACCAAAATAAGATTTTAAATTTTACAGATAAAAAGGCACACTAGCATTTCTTAGTCTAAAACTGTAATGTAAAGAAAGCTGCCTATCCAAACTGCACTAATCGAAGGAGCAGATCTAGCTAATGAATTTCATATACTAGGTACCTGTAGTACATGAAACAAAGAAGAAAATAACTAAATGTTTAAAATCTAGAACCTTTTAAAAGGAAGAGAAAATCTGAGATTTCTCTACTAGCCTCACCATTAAAGAACATGGCAGAAGGGCCATTTTCTTCTGAAGGATTTTCCAAAGAAGATAAATACAGAAAGTTATAAAATCTTAAAGGATATTTACATCTTATTTCCAGAGAAATAAGGACAGAAGGGGATTTTTGAGTGAAGGCATCACTTCTATGATTTTATTTTATTCTTACCATGTTCCCATTTGTAAGAAAACTAAATTCAAAATTCAGTTATGGTAAAGATTTTACCAATCTGGAGATACTGGTTTGGAATATAATCCTATTTGCTTTCTTGGGATCTAATTCCTGCAATCAGCTTTAATCAGTATCTGATCAAGGTTCTATGATCCCTATTTTAATGGATCTTGTGGGGGGGGGGGCAATTACAAAAGAAACCCCAGCATAAGGGTTTTTTTACTCCAGGTTTTCAATTTTGGAACATTTGAATGGGAAAATTGTTTGGAATTTTAGTATAAAGAATAACATTAATACAGGTATGTATTGCAAAACTGTAGCTTTAACATCAGTTGTTCTTCTAAGGGATTTCTTTATTCATTTCTGCATCATACTGTATTATTTGGATATCTACATATAGTATTATGTTAATTTGATATGGTTTTATTTCCATATCAAAATATTTTACTATTAACAATATACTTTTTGCCAATTCTGTTGAATGAAAAGTGGATGTAAACTAACTTTTTGTCAAAAATGAATAGAAGCACAAAGACAAAATCAGAGAAAGCCATTTATTATAATAACATATTAATTATATATTAATATAATAATATAATTTAATATTATTAATGTAATATATTAATATATTTATGTTAATTTACCATAAAACCTCACAACCTCATAGCAGAAAATAATATTAACAAATTAATTCAACAAATAAAAGATGAAAGCAAAATTGGATTCTTATAAGGATGACTTTAATAATAAACACGAGAAATTAATCATCAAATTAGAATGCCGTTAAAAAAATATAAGACTGGGAGGCAAAATCCCAGGAGTGTTTAGTTCATAAAATCCAAAAACTTTTTTACATTCCACTGACTATGCTAGCTGAAAACTCATTGTGACAAAACGGGAATATAGAAGATAAATGCAAATCCAAACATGAAGCAAGACCTGCTACCTTTTCATGAATTGATTTCATTACTGACATTTTTATCAAATCAAAATATTTTCAACCAATATGAATGGATGAAGAGCCCCTTTAAAAAGCAAGCAAAATCATTTTCAAAGCTAAAAATGGGGAAAAGGTAATCTATTTCTTCAGGAGAAACCTATTAAAATGATAATGTAAGCCTGTCAGAGTTCAAGTAACTTGAGGAAAAAAAACTGCAGCCTGAGTTGGATAGTATGTATGTATGTATGTATGTATGTGAAGAATTTACCATTGAATTTAGAAAACAAATCCACAATGATGAATGAAAATTTATAATCTTACATGTTGAATCTGGGAGAAAAAAATAGTTCAATTTGTGCCCCAAACGACAACAAAATAAAGTTTTATGGAAGATATATTCATTCATTTCTTAAAATGCAATTAAGAAAAATTCTTGAAGGTATTCAGAATACTCACAACAGAGAGCCTTCTGTAGTCTTCGGAGCTTCATGGCAGTTCTATATGCTGAGAATCGAACATTGTTCAAATCAGCTGTGACACAAGTAAAAGAAGAAAAGGACATAAATTATTTTATCACCAGGCATGTTTACTCAGTGAACACAAAAGAACTCCTAAAATATATTTAAATGTAAAACAAATCACCTATCACTTTATATAAAACAAAATCAGTGATTATAAAAAATAGTACTATTGTCAACCTGAAAAATTACATCATCAGAAACCATGCTTTATTTCTGCTTCGTTTCTTGGTTGCCATTCAAGTGGGGTGGGGGAGGAAACTTAGGAATGTCACCACATTTCTCAGCTAGTTAGTCATAATATCTACCAGCCAGCATGTGAACTAAGATCATGTCATCAAAGAGCTATTGAAGCTGGGCGGGAACCTATGACTGGACTGATTGGCCCATGTGATCAGAGAGACTTAAGGGGGTGGGGAAATCCTATTCTTTTAACTATCCCTATGTGCGGGAATAATGTAGAGCTAGCTTCCTCTTTGTAAGTGCCAATATGATGTACTCAATAAATGGATTTTTGAATCTGAGCCAAGCTTCAGTCCTAATTTCCCACAGTTCATTACTCGGAACCATGACAACTACAATCTGAACAAAAACAGCAGAGTTTAGGCAGAACAAGGTGCTATTTATAGCTGTAATTTTATTCATACTTAGTAGGAATATATTCTATCGTGCTTAATATCACTTCTACTGTCTGTACCATCATTTCAGTCTTAAGACTATTCACTCAGTCCCAGTCATGCCTCGAAGTACACGGTATTTATAATTCTTTGCAGTTCTCCACAAGTCAGTTTATTCCTTCCAGATTTTCATGTCTTCATCAGCCACCTCACCAGTTTTTTTATTCCAATAATAGTTCCAAGTATTTCCGAACCACTCTACTTAACAATCTTCAAAAGTTTCAGAAATTTGCCTTCCTTAGTTGTGAAACAAATAGATATTAAACAATATACAGCAAAAAAAACAGTCTTCTAGATGTGTTTACCTCCACTCAGTGTTAAAGATTACCATATTTTTCAGATTATAAAACACACCTTTTTCCCTCAAAAAAGAGGCTGAAAATCTGGGTGCATCTTATACACTGAATATAGCATTTTTGCCTCCTGAAACCCCACCCCCTTCACCAAAATAGTCATGCAGAGCCTTTAGGAGGCTTATAGAGTGCTCCTGGAGGCTGGGGAGGGCAGAAATGAGCAAAAAACAGGTCATTTTTTGCTCATTTTTGCCCCCCCCCCGCCGCAGGAGCATTCTATAAGCCTCCTAAAGGCTATGCATGCTTTTTGCTCGTTTTTGCGCCCCCCCCCCCGAGCACTCTACAAGCCTCCTAAATGCTATTCATACCCTTTTTTGGGGGGAAAAGGGCCCAACCATTTTTGCGAAAAACGGGCCGTTTTTGGGAGGTCTGCAGAGAGCAAAAACTTTTTTTAAAAAAATTTACCTCTTCAAAATCTCGGTGCGTCTTATACTCCAATGCATCTTATACTCCAAAAAATACGATATTCCAAGATCTTCCCAGCCTTATAAAATTATAGCGTATTTTCTTTCTTTCACCAGATGTCATCGCCTAAAATTTCAATGTTATACCCAATCTAACAATGTCAATTTTTTCAGATAATTTATTTCACTTTTCCCCAATAATCAACCCAATGTTTCCAGCATTTTAAAATGCCTTTTCAAGATGTTGCCAATAAAATGTTCAAATCCAGTCATTCTATATTTTAAAAATTATATCCTCTCTTAGGTTTCATTTTCTTTCAGGTCTGTAGTCTTCCTCTAAGTAATTGTTAGCCGCTTTAAACATTTTGGAGAATTGTCTTTTCAGTTTCTTTGAGGTTTAATCAGGGGTGAAATGCTACCAGTTCAGGCCGGTTCACCCAAACTGGTAGTAAAAAAAAAGCTACTGTTTGCCCAAACCGGTAGTAAAAAAAATGCTTTAATAAGTCAGCTGTGCAACAATCAGCTGTGCTTTTTAAAAACATTTTTTAGCATTTTTTACTACCTATTCCCCCGAACTGGTAAAATAATGCTTTAAAGAGTAAAAAAAAGTTCTGATGATCAGCTGTGCGACAATCAGCTGTGCCACGGATCGTTGGAACTTTTTTTTAAAAACTTTCTAAAGCATTTTTTAATACCTGAAGCTGTAGTTTAAAAAATGTTTAAAAAAGTAAAAAAAACCAAGTGCGACAATCAGCTTTTCCTGACTGTCTGTGAGGTTCCTGCTTGTTGCAGGGACCATTTTGTGTGAAGTCCAACTGCTTTTGCATTGTGTGTGAGTCCGTTGTGTAGCTTTTGTGTAAAGTCTGATGTCTTGTTTTTCAGCTGTCTGTCACTCTGTGAGGTTCCTGCTTGTTGCACCAAGCCCCATCCACTCAGTGACATGACTACCAAGCCCTGCCAACCAAGCCCGGAACCAGTAGGGAATTTTTTTAAATTTCATCACTGGGTTTAATCTCTAGTAAAGAAGTTGAAGATCATCTCACCCAGCTCCAGTCCATTGTTCAAACATTGCTCCAGCACATTTCTTTCTTTGCTTGTCCCAGCTTCCCGGCAGCCATAATGGCTGCCTCTCTTTCCTTGTTAGGAAAGTCAGCCTCGGATGAAGCAGGATAGTTGCCACTCTCTGCAATCTGCAAGGCGTCCCTCCTTTCTTCATCATCTATACGATGTGGCTTTAGCCCTTTAGGGGTCCCCCAGCAAGAAGAGTTCAGCCTAAGTTCATGGAGCCCGCTTCCTATGACTGTTGCAGCAACACAAAACCAGTCATCCTGTGGGCCCAGCTTGTTATAGGAGAGCCATAGTTTCAAATACTTTGTGGACAGGTAGACCTTGCTGCCCACTTGGAATGGTGGCTGGGGGAAATGGCATTTGTCGGCTTGAGCTGCGTCCCTCAAGGCATGCTTGGTATTTTGGTGGGTTTTTGCTGCGTCCCTCAAGGCATGCTTGATATTTTCCCATGCTTCCTTCAGTGGGCCCATTCATTCAACAACATGGATGACGGGTGCTTCCTGGGCACTTCAGGCATGGAGATGAAGTCCATGCCACTGGTGACTTGAAAAGGGGTCAATCTGGTGCTGCTATGCACATTATTGTGTGCCACCTCTGTGAAAGGCAGCAGCTCTACCAGTTGGACTGCTGGTAGTTGACATAGCCTGTCAGCCTCTGTTTTGCTGTTTGCTTTTCGGCTGCCATTGAAACGGGGAGGGAGGGCATGGTATTTGGGTGAGGGAAATAATCTGTACAGGAGGACTGTAAATTGGGAGTTGTTCTCACCATTCGTTTGCGCATGTGGAAGGAGGGGAGTTTCCTGCCAACGCCAACTGTCCGGCATACCAACCTGATGATGATTTTTGAAGATGTCTCCCACCTGACAGTTATGGAGATATACAATTGGATTATGG